CGCGTAAGAGCGCGGATTCAGGATGTCGAGTGCATCCGGGTCTCCCTCAGGGGTAAGCAGTACGGACACGAGATGAGGTGAAGCAGCGGCCAAGCACTGAAACTCCTCCTGCCTGTCCTCCAGGACGTCCGTGCCAAGGGCACACTCACCCCCGATAGACGGAGGACAGACAGAATCAGACTCAGTGACAAGACTAGCAGCGTAGTCTAGGCGACAGCGAGCAGCAAAGTCGACGAGCTGAGTAACGAGGGTAGACGCAACAGTGGACTCGAAAGAAGGGTCAGTGACGACAGTAGCAAGGAGACGCGTGACAGTAGGACTGGCAGCACGAAGAGAGTCCGACTCCAGGTCGGGAAGAGCAGGAAGAGAGGACCCAGGAGGAGAAGGCAGAGGGGTACGCAGAGGAGTAGTGAACGGACGCAGAGACATCCTGTGCGTGCCATGGACAGGAGGAGGACGCGGACGCGAACCACGACCACTAGCGCGAGCAGCGCGGACAGGCGACGTAGGGCGAGACGCAGGCTCACGTTGCTCAGCAAGACCTCCAGTAGCACCAGAAGCACCCCCAGCAGGACCGCTAGTGGTAGTCTTAGCGCCAACACCCTCAGCAGCACCAGCTCTAGTCGAACCTGCAGGCCCAGCAGCTCTAGTACTCCCAGGACGAGCACCTCCGGGACCCGCGACAGCAGCACCCTCAGTAGTTGATGAACCTCCAGCACCAGCAGCATGGCTCAAGCGCCGGGCAAACCACTCGCGCAGCTCCTGTGGAGAGAGTGGCTCCCGGCGAGACGAAGCACCCGGAGAACCTCCAGGCGGAGCACCTCCAGGCTCATCACCCCCAGGCCCAGCACCCCCAGGCAAAGCACGCCCAGGCGTAGCACCCCCAGGCTCAGCACCCCCATGCTCAGCACCCCCAGGCTCAGGACCCCCAGGCTCAGCACCCCCAGGCGTAGTACCCCCAGGCTCAGCACCCCCAGGCTCAGCACCCCTAGGCTCAGCACTCCCAGTAGCTGAAGAACCTCCAGCACCAGCAGCACGGCTCCAGCGCCGGGCAAACCACTAGCGCAGCTCCTGTGGAGAGAGTGGCTCCCGGCGAGACGAAGCACCCGGAGAACCTCCAGGCGGAGCACCTCCAGGCTCAGCACCCCCAGGCCCAGCACCCCCAGGCTCAGCACCCCCAGGCTCAGCACCCCCAGGCTCAGCAACCCCAGGCGTAGCACCCCCAGAGTCACCAGTGACCTCGACAGGCTTGACTGCGTCTACCTGGGACACACCTGAAGGGGCAGGACCCTGAGGGGGGAGGGGGTCTACCTGGGGTGGACCTGGTATAAGGAAGAGCGGGGGGGGGAGGGGAGGGACGGAGTGCGGTAGGGGAAGAGGCGGTTGTAGGGGACCGACTCGTCAAACGTGACGACCTGGGAGGACAGAACACGGCGAGAGGTGGGGTGGTAGAACTGCCACCCAGGCGCGTCGAGGGGAACCCCAGGAAGACGCAAGGAGCAGTACGAGGGGACAGCTTGTCCGCAGACAAGTTGCGGAGAAACGCCCGAGATCCCCAGACCCGGAACGCCGACGCATCGCCGACCTTCCCCGTCCACAGCAAGGGTGGGGAGGTCTCCGGCCTGGAGACCCTGGGGTGAAGGTTGATCTGATGCGCCGCGTACCTCACCTCAAACGGCCACAGAAAATGGGGGGCAGCCGCATGCATCATAGAAGTACGAGTCGGGGTAGCCGCATGCATGACCATGCGCGGCCCCGCTACCCCATCATGACCATGCCAATGCGGCGCTCAGCAATCCCATTTTGCTGCGGAGAGTCCGGAGCATGAAGGTCTGACGGATGCCTCGTGGGCGACAGTAGGCCCTTAGAAGGCCAGAGGAAAACTCTCCGCCTCTGTCCGAGTGCAGATGCAGAACAGGAAAGTCCGAGCCAAAGCTCTGCCTGAGCTGGAGACGAGCTGCGCGGATCCAGTCGATCAGCACCTCAGTGACATCACCCTTGCTGCGCAAGGGGAAGACTGCGGTGTAACGCGAGTAGTCGTCAACAACGAGCAGGAAGTAGCGCTCGTGACCCTGTCCACGGACGCGGGCGGGGCCCCACACGTCCATGTGAAGCGTCTGCAACGGGGCCTCTGTCGGAGGAAACTGGGAGGAGTGAGGGGCAGCACGCTGGCGCCCCTCAACACAGGGGACACATGTAGGGCCAGGGCCCTGAGGAAGGGGAGGGAGGGACCGGGGGAGACCAGAAACAAGAAGACGAGAGGCCATGCCTCTGAGCCGAAGCAGAGAGGGGTGACCAAGGCGGTGGTGCCAGAGGAGAGTCTCGTGAGACAGGAGACGACACGAATAGGGGGCAGACTCAGGACCAGACCTGGACGCTGCAGCAAACACCTGACCCGACGCAGCTACCCTACCAGACTCAGCAACTGGAGGAGACGGAATGGTCAGTGTGTACAGGCTCGACCCTGGCCGACTAGTAAACGTGGCCAGGTGTTGGCTTGTCCGAGCGTCTGTGCAGTGGGTGACCCGCTGACTCGCAGGAGTGAACTGGTGAACCCCCGCATCCTGCAGGTCAGCACCACTCACCAAGTTCGTAGAGAACGAGGGGAGGTAAAGACCAGACAGGGTGCCAGAGGGGGCCGCCGGACACGGGAGGACAGTGGAGAAGTGAGCAAGGACAGGGCTCCCCAGAGGGGTCTGCCAGAGAGACTGCAACTGGCCGACCAAGCGGCGTGAGTGTGGTGTGGTCTCGAAAGAAGGAGCGGGAAGCCCCCGAGTCAATGGTGAAGGTGTGAGAGGCCGGAGCCGACGCGGTACCTGAGAGAGCAGACTCACCCGCACCTGAGGAAGCAGACTCACTAGCACCTAGAGCAGCAGCCGCACCTGTACCTGGAGCAGGAGAGACACTAGCACCCAGAGCAGCAGCCGCACCAGCAGCTAGAGCAGTAGGCTCTATACCCGGGTCAGGCGGTACGCACAGGTGACCGGCACGGTCAGCACTAGTAGGCAATGCATACATGGCAGTGAGAATAACATCATAGTCAAGAGCAAATATATCTACCCTCTGCCTAAGCAACTCCACCCAGTCGGGGAGCTCAGCCTCGTCGCCAAACTCGGTACGCCAGGCGTCGCTCAGACGAGCGAAGCAGCGGGACGGTGTGTGACTAGGCGTCCCACAAGGCTGACCAGTCCGAGCACTAGTGCGAATCACGTAAGAGCAGCGAACAGAACTGAGAGACCCTCTATTCTGAGCGTACCACTCACAAAGCTGCTGGGGCGTGAGAGACGCGCGTGGGCGTCGCTGGAGCTGCATCTGGCCGCCGCCAGTAGTAGTAGCAGTAGTAGCGGCGCCACCCCTACAACCCCAACCAGCGTACCACTCACGCAGCTGCTGGGGCGTGAGGGACTCACGCTGACGTTGCTGGGGCTGCATCTGGCTCCGCCAGTAGAAGAAGGAGCAGGAGTAGCAGCAGTAAGGCAGGCAGCCAAGCCAGCGGCAGGCAGCGAGCTAGTAAGGCAGGGGCTCACCAATGGTGGGAAGAGCAGGCTCGGCGACTCGGCGACTCGGCGGCACGGCGGCACTGCAGCAACTGCGGCTCGGCGGCTCGGGCGACTCGGGCGGCTCGGCGGCTCGGGCGACTCGGGCGGCTCGGCGGCTCGGCGGCTCGGCGGTACGGCGGCTCGGCAGCAACTGTAGCTCGGCGGCTCGGCGACCCGGTGGCTCGGGCGGCTGAGGTGGCGCTGCGGCTCGGGCGGCTCGGGCGGTTCGGGTGGCTCGGTACTAGCTCGGTGGCGCTGGCGGCTCGGTGGTGACGGCGGGGCCGCTTGGGGACGGCGGCGGGGCCAGGTGGAGCGGCGACGGGGCCAGCAGAGGCGGTGCCGGGGCCGCAGGGTAGGCGACCGGGCCAGCAGAGGCGGCGCCGGGGCCGGGAAGGGCGGGGTCGGGGCCGGCAGAGATGGCGCCGGGGCCGGGAAGGGCAGCGTTGGGGCCGCAGAGGTAGGCGACGGGGCCAGCAGAGGCGGGGCCGGGTCGGGAAGAGCGGCGTCGGGGTCGCCGGGGTAGGCGACGGGGCCAGCCGAGGTGGCGCCGGGGCCGGGAAGGGCGGAGCCGGGGCTAGGAAGGGCGGCGCTGAGGCCGGAGAAGTAGGTGACGGGGCCACTAGGGCGGCGGATCGGGGCAGCGAGGGCGGCGCGACGCGGCCGCTAGGGCGGCGCGACGGGGTAGCGGGGCCGCGCACCTCGGGGCGCGCGCCAGAAAGAAAATCGCCGCGCGCTGTCGCACGCCGTGGGGCGTGCGACAGATCGAGTAGCAGCGGAAGCAGAAGTAGGGCCTTAGGAACAGTTCCCACGAGGGAACCTGCTCGATACCATGAGAAAACTGAAATGAGAATGAATGAACTATGAATGAAGTGGGTACAAGTACTAACCCTAATTGGGTTGTACCCCCTATGGGATACCCCACTACAGCCAACACAAAAGTATAAGCTATAATCTTCTGACATGTTCTAACGTACTGGAGGATGACACGCGTAGTTTTGTGCGTGCGTGTCACATTGGGCATAGGTTCCAGTTCAATGCTTATCCATGATGCTATCTAATCGGAGCGCCACACGCCCGCACTGTTGTGACGGGCACGTCCAACCCAGTCGCGACATATGGAACACTCCGTGACACACGCCGCCAAGTGCGGCGCACCATTAGTCCACCCGCACACATGGTTCACACCTGCATGTCGCATTGTACATCCTCCTCTACATGCCTGGGCTATCTTGTGCAACAATACCCCAAACGAGATCTCCCATTGATAACAAAGGCGCACACAATGAGTTACACAACTCCTAACTACACCAATCATCCTCAACTCTCAATCAAACACATGCAACCCCCCTATCCCACATAGCTAAGCTTCCTACACCGCACACATAAGCCCAGACGATTCCATCAACGCACCTCTCCAGCAGTCCCGTCAACCGTCCACCACCCCCGTCCTCTATTAACGGTCTACTTAGCACCAAGTGACGCCGAAAGGTCGTCATCCCCTACGATGCCTTCGGACTGGGCGGCGGCCATGGGCCTCATGTGCTCCAGGCCGCACGCAGAGATGCGCAGTCCATGGCGCCCCCAAATCCACGCCTCGCGCTCTGCGTCATACTCGGGGTTGCGGATACGGATGGCCCTCTCCACGACCTCCTTGACCAGGACCTTGAGCCCATCCACAACGTGGGCGTTCCCGCCCGCCGAGTTGGAGAGCCGGCCTTTCCGCTCCTCCCAGGAGAGGACGCAGTCGGAGACCTGCGCCAACACACAAAGCGTCAGTCCATGCATTTCCAATAAGATGCACACCATTGCACACATCGAGCGCACACACTCACCACATGCTCCAACCAGGCCAGGTGGTACACCTTAAGGGTCATCACCAGCCCTGCCTTCTTCGGCTTGAAGGCAGCCTTCGCACATGTCGTGAGCGCCCGGGAGGCAAACGGCATGCCATCCCTGTCGTGCGCCCAGCTCGTAAGCACTAGAGTTTCTGCACACCACATCCGCACTATCAGTATCAATGTCCACAATTCTCGCATTGGTGCATGACTACAAACAGTCAACGACTCCAGCGCGCGTCTCCTGCACTCACCAGGGGGGTCTGCGCCAAGCCCAATGCACTCCCTTATCTTCTCGATACTACGCTCTTTTTCAGGTGCCCACGGGCTGGATGCGTCCCTGTCGTCACGGAACAGGCCGAGCTTGGGAAGTTCAATGTCTCGCACGCGAGCGACAGCCCTTGTCTTCCACTCAGACAGCGTCTTGTTGAGATCTGCTCGTCGAGACTTGTCAGCTGCCAACGCCAAACAAGCGAAGCTGTGAGGCAGGCGGTCCAGCACCGCGCACACTCCGTGAGTCTTATCATCGCTGCTCGGGTAGAAGGTTATCGTCGACATTGGCCTGTTGAGAAACATGTGAACTCTGGCTAGCTCGCAAACCCTCTGCGCACACAATGTATACACCATTAACAACATCAGCGTACACCGTGGACCATCAACGGGCACACATTGCAACCCAATCCGGTCCATCACTAAGGAACCCTTTCGGAAACATGCCCGCTCTGTTGAAATCAATAAACAGGAATGAATAAACAAAGAGTGAAAAGAGTACAAGTACCAAACCCTAGAATTGTGTACCCCCTATAGGCTAACCCAATGTAGCCTAACAACCACAACATATATAATGTTTGACACACCCCCATAGGCAAAGTGGGGGAGAACTAGGGGTCACAAGACCAGTCAAGTAAAGCAAGCTCAGGGTGGATCACAAAGTCACCACACATTCCGAGCACAAATTCAAGGCCACAAGGCCAGTTCACATGCAAGAGTACATATATATATAAGGCTAGACAATCAAGAGCAGAAATATATATATGTAACAGAACAAGCAAGGTCAAGAGGTGAGCAACTGATCCAACTGGGTGCAGAAGCGCTGATGATCACAAGGCGCAAGTGCCTTGGTGAAGACATCAGCGGTGTTGGCCTTAGAGGCCACGTACGCAAGCCGCAACTGACCACGCTGCTGTAGCTCACGAGCAAGGAAGTAGCGGAGAGCAATGTGCTTTGTTCTGTGCTCCAGTCTCTGCTCTCGACACAAGGCCAGCATGGCCTTGTTGTCTACGTACAGCACTGGAGGAGAACGAGGCGGCTCTCCAAGGTCGGTCAGCAAGTAGGTGAGCCAGCGAAGCTCCTGTGCAGCCATGGCCGCGGCGTAGATCTCAGCCTCACAACTGGAGCTGAGAACAAAAGACGAGTGAGTAGCCCGCCACGAAACAGAGCCGGAACCAAGGCTGAAGGTGTAACCCTGTGACGACTGCTGCGTAGCCTGGTCGTTAGCCCAAGAAGCGTCTGCGTGACCAGTGAGGACCACTGGACTCCGCCCTCCAAGCACTAGCCCCATGCCCGACGTACTGCACAAGTAGCGCAGCACCCTCTTCGCTGCAGCCATGTGCTCTGGTCGGTGTCTCCCAGGAGCAACATAGCGTGCAAGAATGCTAAGAGGGTATGCAAGGTTAGGTCATGTGCAGGTCATCAGGTACATGAGGCAGCCAACAAGCTTTGGGTACGGACCACTCGACTCTACGGACTCATCCGAAGGCAGAGCTGAGAGCGAGTGGCGACTAGACAGAGGAGTGGCCTGAGGCGAGGAGTACGTGAAGCCGAAGCGCTGAAGGACCTGCTGCACCATGTGTGACTGAGTCAGGGTGGTGGTGCGGCGTGCTCTGTCCCGGGTGATCTGCAAGCCAAGGTAGCTGCGCAGTTCACCCAGGTCTGTGCACGTGTGTCTCTTCTGCAGCTCGGACTTCACATGGGCGAGTCCAGTAGTGTGAGCTGTGGCAAAGACCAAGTCGTCCGTGAAAGTTTAGAAGAAGGAAGAGCATTGCACTAGCAAGAATGGGGATACAAATAGCAAACCCTAGAAAGGGTTGTACTCGCTATAGAGCACCCCACTACAGGCTAGAGCATAAGATAACATTCTGACACACCCCCATAGCCAAAGTGGAGTGTAATCAGCAGAGCAAGCAAGGCAGTACAAGCTCAGGGTGGATCACAATGTCACCACACATTCTGAGCACAAGTTCAGGAAGAAATAGTTTAAGGTTCACAATTATGAGCAAAGCTAGTGGTAGTCACAACGGGCAAGTGAGGAGGAGGAGAGAGAGTGAGAGGAGAGGAGATAAGAGGCGACGGTTGAAGCTGCAGACACACGGGCAACAGGAGGCACACTGGCACAGCGGCTACCGGAACAACGATCTGGAATACTAGAGTAACTGGCCCCGCGGCTAAAGTAGCGGCAGACGAGCAACGGACCCACGGGCGGCTGGCACAGCTGGCTACGACTGGGCTACCAGAGCAATTCCCCGGAATACAGGTGCTGCTAGCGACACGACGGCAACCTCCATGCAGCTTCCCCAAACTATCCCACTCCCCCTGGCACACACCCGCTGCTACGCCGCTAGCTCCACTCCCCCTTCACCCCCCCTTTGTACCACTCCACCGGCTCCAACACGTCCACCCCCCCTCAGCGGCAGCTGCAGCACAGGGAGACGGAGGAGGAGGAGGAGCAGGGAACAGCACACAGTAAGATCACCCCCATACCCCTCACACCCAAACCCTAATTTAGGAGAATGGGGAGTAGGAGGGGTGGGGTGGCAGTAGAAGCACAGGGGGAACAGCGGGAGGGCAGGGGCAACGAGGAAGGGGCCCACCATGGGCCTGGTACAGACGCCCGAGCCGCGCGCAGGCGGCCCGAGCCGCGCGCGGGCCTGGCGCCGTCTGTACGGGCCGCACGTGGGCCTGGCGCCGCCCGTACGGGTCGCGCGCGGGCTTGGCGCAGCCCGTACGGGCCGCGCGCGGGTCTGGCGCAGCACATACGGGCCTGGCGAAGCCCGTACGGGCCGCGCGCAGGCCACGACGGGCGACGGGGGGCGACGCGCGGGTCCCCGTCGCCCGTCGCGGCGCCTCCTGAGGGCGACGCGCCGGGTGACGGGGTAGAAGCCCGCCGCGCGCCTCGGGGCGCACAACGGGCAGAGAACCGCCGCGCGCCTCGGGGCGCACGGCGGGCAGAAAACCGAGTCAGAGTACGTGGCGGCCACTGAAGCTGGCAAGGAGGGACGCCGCCTTCGCTTCCTCCTCGCCGATTTCCGGCAACTGGACGCCGGGAAGCCGACTGTCCTGCGTGTGGACAACAAGTCGGCCATCACGGTTGCCGAGGGCATGGGGTTGATGGGCAACCTCAAGCACATGGAACGGCGACAGGCCTGGCTGCAGCACATGGTGAAGCGCGGGAAGTTCTCGCTGCAGTACATCCCGACCGTTGAGCAGCCGGCCGACTTCCTGACGAAGGCGCTGCACTATCCGGCCTTCAACCGGTGCTCCGTCGCAATCGGCCAAGTGCGCTTGGCCGACGTGGGTGACGGCGACAACGACGTGCAGCAGTAGGTGCCATGCCCTCCTGCATGGCTGGTGCGGTGGACGACGTGCTGTGTGTTGGGTGCACGTCGACGAGCTATTCTCCGAGGAGTACTGCCGAGTGGACTTGGGGGGACCAAGCGTGAACGCGGCAGGGGAGTGTCAACGGGAGTTGGGTATTGGCCCCGTCCTCGCTTGGGCGGAGCCGACTTCGTGGTCGGGTGTGAGGGGAGCAGCCGACCTGCAGCAGTGTGTGAGCTGGTCGACGAGGAGGTCGACCTGCACGGGGACCACTGCACGGCCGCCGACTTCAGGTTGGCGCCGACTTCAGGGAGGTCGACTTAGGCGTCGACCTCCGAAGGACGTCAACTTGGTGACGTCGACTTGGGAAGCCGACTTCGGTGGTCGGCTGATGTGCTGGTCGACCTGCGGGTGGTCGACTAGACCCGGTGGTCGACGAAGGAGGGGCCGACGTCGACCTCGCCTTAGGACGCCGAGCAGTTGGGCGTCGAGTAGCGGGGCGTCAACTTCGTGACGCCAGCTTCGGGTGGCCGGCGGGGGTGGTCGGCCGACGACTATGCTGGTCGACGTGGAGCTGGTCGACCAGAAGGGACGTCGACCTGGTGAGGTCGACATGGAGGTGGTCGTCGACTTGGGAGGTCGACGGGCACGTACGGGAGTTGCTGGTCGACGTGGTTGCCCGGTCGACCAGGTTACCTGGGTGACGAAGTGCTGCGGAAGAGTGCGACGATCGCCCAGGAGAAGTTGGCGAGCCCGACCTCGGTGGTGGTATCCCGAGGTCGTCATGGCGGATTAGAGGCAGTCGACAGCTCGAGGTTGACGTGGTGTGTGCGCTGTCCAGGTGACAGGACTCTGCACGCCAATCATCTGCGCGCACCTGTGAAGCGGGTGCACTGCTGTCCTGCGACGTTGGCACGCCGTCGACATTGCCTTGCTGGAGCGCGGTCGACCAAGTCGTGCTGGAACACGGTCAACCAAGCTGCGCTGGCAGTTGGCCGACCTGGATGCTTGCTCTAATGTAGTCTTGCCATGCCAACTTCATTTTTTACCAATTGTTCTAAACTTTTTCCTAGTGAAACTCTTGCCAATTTTCCCCGTGAACTAGCAAGTAGTGTGCGCACAAGGAAAACGACTAAGGAACAGAGAACGCAGAGATCACACGAGCACACGTGCCTAGCCTGTAGCCTAGCTCCCGTTGCTGCAGTTATCTCCGCATGGTGCGGTGAGCGTGGAAGGCACACGACTTACCTTTCAGTCAGGTTGACGTAGACACCACTTACCTATTTCGTAGTTGCAGGCCGGCAATCGTGCGGTAGTGCGGTCACTATGGTAGGAGCCGTAGGTGACGCGGGGGTGGTGGACACCCTAGAGGCACGGTTGGAGAATGCGAGGAGGAAGTACGAGGCCAACGAGTATGGCGACTTGCCCTGGGCAGTCGTCGAGGCTGGACTCCGCTCCGTGTGGGCGGCGGAGCACCCGTCTCGACCTGCTTCTCCTCGTCCGGTGAACAACGAAGGCGGCGTCGACGTGGGCGTCAACGCCGGTGGTGGTCAAGTCGGCAGCAGTGCTGGAGGCACGTCGAGGCAGAGAGGTGTGATTCACGCCGATGAAGTCGGCGGCGTTCAGGCGCGAAGGGTGCAGTCGTCGGCGGCTGCAGGCTCCTCACAGGGCGACGTCGGAGGACGACGAAGCGGGCAGTCGCCGATGTCGGCGTCCCTGGTGACAGCGGGTGGAATTGCACCGAGCTACGGCTACTTCAAGTTTACGCCGGACAGAATCTCGGTCACCCCCCCACTGGTCGGTCGACCCGACATTCTCACCTGGAAGGAAGCTATCGAGCCCCAGCTGGAGATGGCCGGGCTGATCGGCTTCGCCAGAGGGACTGTGGCGACACCGGGGGAGCACCACCCCGACTTGCGGGCGGAGTTTCGCGCCGTGCAGCTGTTGACCTTCACCGTCATCTC